GTTTTGTAGGCAAACATCAATGCCTTGAATTTTATGCGAGCAGCTATTGGTAGCCAGTGCAAATTGATAAACAGAGGTGTGACGTGGATTCTTTTTGGCTCATTAAAAATGTATCTTGCTGCCGCGTTCTGGATTAATTGTAAAGGTTTGATAGAACTGGCTGGAAGACTTGCCAAGAGAGCATTGCAATAGTCCAGCCTGGACAGAACAAGTGCTTGAACAAGGAGTTGTGAAGCATGTTCCGAAAGAAAGGGCCTGATCTTCTTGATGTTGAATAAAGCAAATATGCAGGACCGGGCAGTTTTAGCAATGTGGTCTGAGAAAGATTATTCAGTACTAATATAATAGTTTAAACATTTCATTTCTCTGTGTGTGTGTCTCTGTGAGTGTATTCTACATCATAGATGCGTTTTAGTGTCAGCCATGCATTTCGGGTAGGCCTAGACCCTAAAAGCATAGCACCTTAAAGGCCTTACAGCACTTGAACCCCGGTAATCGCTGCTTGCAGCTATATTTCACATCATCTCTCTCTCTCTCTCTCTCTATATATTATTGTTGTTGTTTAATATACTGTAGATAAACCCAATAGGACTATGGGAGGTCATGAATGTCATGTATGTAAGTATTACTGGAAGAATTGTTTTAAATTTATTACTCAAATGATCTCATTAATTGTCAGCCAATGATATTGCATTTATTTTTGCCCCCAAATATTTATTTGTTAAAATAACTAGTTTGGTAACCATTAAAAAACTGGGAAGAAAAAAGATAAAAACAAATAAATAAATAAAAAACTCACTTTAACGAGACACTTTCCTTCCCATTACATTCAAATATCAATGCAACTCACCTGTGCCAGATTGTAAAGAACTGCATGTTTGGTTGCATCTTTGTTGGCTTTTCTAGCCCGCTGTTGTCTCTTCTTTAACCGCCAATACTCTCTCTTTCGTTGAAGCTCATCACTTTCACTAAGCTGCTGCTCTTGCAAGGCCTGTGAAGGGCAGGACTGCTTGGGATCTGCTCCATCATCACTGAACTTCTGAGTTTTTCTGCACTGAGGTTGCAGAGCCACTGGAGAAATGGCACGACTTCTATATGTAGCCACTTGACAGACGTTATGAGACTTATAATGACTGGTGTCTTCAAAAGTGGATGCCTGAGTTGTGTCCTCTGAGAAGTCACACTCTAATGAGACATTTTGTTGTAAGTTAAGACCTGGCTTTGTAAGAAGTTCATCTTTAGTCAACGGAAGAGACTCATTTTCACACTTAACATGCATTTCTTTGACATTATTTTCTTCTGGTGTGTAAACCGATTCCTCCAGGAGCTTTTTCATGCAGGCCTGAAGAGTGGTGTCATAATGGTCCACAGCTACTGGAGGTTCAATGTGTGACTCTAATAATGGACAGGGTGAAGGTTTGCGGTCTTTAACACTGATGCAGGGAGCAATTTCTGGGATGGAAAATACAGCTTGTATAGTGGGATAGACGTGTTCTTCTTTTATAGGGGTTGGGGCACTGGTTGAGGAGTCACAAACTTTTGTGGCAATGGATGAAGTAATACTGTGCCTTTGGTTTGACTTCTTGTTTTGCTCTCTCTGCTTTAACACTGAAATCTTTGACCCAAGTAGAACATTCCCAAGTCGGACAGCTCGGCTGGCCCTTTGCTCTAGTTTCTTTATCCTCCAGTACTCTCTCAAATGGGCGACTCTGTCTTCCTCTGTTGAGGTTTCAGACTGGATGGTGACCGTCATACTGCCCATAACTTCACCTCTGGTTAACCTAGACTTTAGAGAGTTTTGGTGAGCATTAATACAGTTACTGGAAATGTTGCATGGAGCAGAACCTAGCTTTGTGGCTGGTTGATCATCTGAATATAGGGGTGAATTTACTTGAACCTTGAGTTTTACCTTTCCAATGCATTTCACATTGGAAATGTCTTGACTAGCAGGTAGGGAAGCTTCAGGAGATGTCTTCGAAATAGAGACTGTCACCGTGCCATCTTCTTTGATAAAACCACCAATGGTATCTGAGTAAACTGCAAATGCACTTGCTTTGCTCACTTGAACTCCACACGCCTGATTGAAGCTGTTGTGGTAGTGTCTCCCCCGATGCTTTAGTGCATCTCGTTCCTTCAATCGTGTTTTCAATGCCCTAGACAACCTTGCTCTCTGCTCACGCTTTTTAATTCGCCAGTACTCTTTCTGTCTGGCATGGCGATCTTCGGGAGGCACAACTTTGGAGGTACCAAGGGCGGATTTCCTCATTTGGTTTTGATCTCATTTGAGCATGTGCAAATTTCTGTACTTTGGATTTGGATTTACTTGAGGATGATTGCAAAATACCACAGGATAAGGATGCATGGTTTGGTTTAGTACCGTGAACATGTAGTTGTGTTATCTGAGAACCGTCAAATTTTGCTCCCAATGACTGCTGATTGAGGGATACAAGATTTGGTTTGAGGCTGATTCCGCTCAAGGCCTGGATTTCATGAACCTTACATTCTAAAGAGGTCAAGGGTCTAAGAGAGTTCTGAGGCTTATTTTGGTTTCTGTGCACAGGTAAAACTATGGATACATGGCTTTGCGGAGATGCTGCTAATTGCTTGCCATTTAGGGACAACATTCCTGTTTTTGTTTTTTGAGCATGATCACTGTTTGGATGCAGCTCGATGCATGTTGTAGGCACATAATGGACTGTAGGGCAGACAGATTCAACTGGTGTAGCATTTGTTTTTGATGACCCTATATCTGAGGACTTTATTTTTTTATTGCCCATTACACCCTTCAGGGAATTTGTGCTTGTTTCTGATAACTGAGGTAAGACATGGTTGAGCTTGGTCTGTTGAAACCAGCTGTCTTTTTTGGCATGGCACCACAGTAATATTACTCTCAGATACTGACAGACCTGAGCTGAAGGAGTTTTTAGGAGCATCAGCATCTTCCTGTTTGAATGAAACTACATGATAACGTAGAGAGGGATCATTGCTGGCTTCACTAACAACAGACATGCACAACCCCAGATTTTCATTTCCGATCTTCTTTTTAGTAGACGACTTTCTCGCCCTCTGCTCTCTTTTCTTGCTCCTCCAATATTCCCTTTTGCGGGTGAGAGTGGCATCATCAAACTCTGCTGCTGGTTGATAACGACGTTTAGAGGAAGTCTCGCTGGACATGGCTGATGTTTGGTTACACCATCATTATACTGTTGATTAACGTCAACCGCTGAAGTAAGTCTTCTTAGGCAGGGATAAACCTTCTCTAAACAGGATATCTGTGGGTTCACATCTTTAATTTATGTGAAGCAGTCTCTCAAGGTCTTTCTATTTAGATGGATTTTGCATGCATATGCTTGAGTCATACTGTTAATTTTTCATACTAAAAACCAAGAGTAGTTGACCTTTAAGGGAAACAAATATGCATAATTAATAATTGATCTGATGAATGAGAGACATTATCAACTCATGTTCATTAACTCAAACCAATCGACCATCAGCTTGAGGCTACACTTCAGCAACAATAAAACGAAAATAAAATAAAATCGAATTTTATTTTCAACAGAAACCAATTGGAATAAAAATCGACAAAAAAAAAATCGTTATTATTTAGAACAGAAAAATAATTTTACACAAGGAAATATATTAGGTGAAAGAGTTTCGGCGGACAAAAAACGTTTTGGAATGCCTGCATTACCTGTATATAAGAAATAACGTGAATTTGTGCATTTTAATGTTTGAAAGACAAAAGCCTTCCAAAACTATAGTAATATACATGGTTAAATAACTGAGTGATAACTGGTAATCAGTAGTTGATGCAATGTTGAAGCACTTCTTAAACCTGAAATGATAAATCCAGTAGTAGCCGCCTGACTAGTCTTTGTGTGAATGTCCACAAAACTAGAAGACTTCCTGAATGTATACAAATGATAGCTGTTTTAGAAAGAAACATTTAAAATATGAAAAAATTATGATTCATTTATTGTTATTGTGTGAATGATATGCATGATGTAATCATTAAAAAAGTAACTGTAGTCTGATTATTTTATAATGTAATGTAATCAGTTACTTCCCAGCTCTGGACACTGCGATGGCAGTTTATTTATATCAAATTTATATTTAAAAAGCATCCTAGCAAACACTGGAGGGATTTTACTGAACAAGCTGTCGCTGTCTCTGGTCTATGACAGAGACAATGTTGTCTTCCTGATCTGCCCTCATGAGCTGCGGTCTGTGTGTCTAAAAGCGCGTGGACTGTCGTGTCTTTATAGTAAAAAAACGCGAAGCATGCGTTGGTTTTTTACCTGGTAGTGTCACCTAACTTTCTAAAAGCTCAACCCCAGGACACTGCAGTCGCTTCCCGTTGCAGCCTTTCTTTCTATCGGTGACTTAACAACGTAAAAGTACCAGGATGTAGGAGCTTACAGCATGTGCCTGGACTGATGTCGGTCTTAATTAGCAGTAGAGTCCATCCTTCAATAAGAAAACGATTACGTTTTGCATTTAAAGAACAGGCGATATGAATCATATGCGGATGACGTAGTTTTTTATTTTTATATTTAATATATTCAGTAGTATTTAAAATGACCGGTACACGAATAACATTATGACTGGCTTTAACAAGCGTGTGACCAACTTTTACATTGCTTTACTGAATACTTGAATACCTATTCCGTTTAAAAAAATGCAATTTATAATAAAAATAGACAAATGATGCATAAACAAATATGCACGTTTCATTAGACTGTCATTTCATGCGCAATTCTATTTCCCAGAAACGTTAAATAACAAAATAATACATCTATCAGGCAAAACTAGAAAATATTATATATTTAATCCTATTTTAAAATGACTTTATTAATAAAATATGAAATGTTATGTACAAAATGCATCATTTTATGTAAAATATAAAATAAAACATTTAAGATGGGCCCCATGGTGCACCCGTCACTACATCACAGCCGCTACTGTCTCTTTAAATTTACCCAGGAGCCCCTAAAGGAGCCCCAGGGGCCCCTAGCTCGGCTCTCCACCCTGAAGACAAGCAGAACATCTAAATACAAACAGGAGACCGCTTAAAGTCACCGACCATTTGACAGATCTGCACTCCAACTTCGATCTAAATGCGACTCGTATCGTCACGTAAAGTTAAGTTTACTTAAAGCAAACAGCGGTGAGGCTCCAGTGCAGAGACAGACGCTGCACACACTGTAATGGGTGAGTGCGTGTTTCAGATATTTAGTCAACCACCCGACGAATGCATCTACGAAATCCTCCGGTTGTGACATTTCTACCTACAAAAGGTGCGAATCCTTTACGTTAAAATCACATAACACAGGTATGGATGAAGCGGAGTCCAAAGAGTCGGTGCACAAAGCTGAGCAGACAGAATCTCGCTCATTAATAATAAAAGCTGAGGAAGAGGAGGCGACACCGCAGCGGGGACACTTGGGGGACCTCTCAGCAGGTAAATGTTGTGTTAGGCATTTACCTTTGGCCACTAGATCGATGGCTCGCGTTTGGAAGCGTTAAACCCCGTGACGAACAATAGCACGCAGCTGCATGGCCCCTAATCTTTCGGGCTCCACTATAAACAAAGGCAAAATAACCATGCTGCATATGTATACGCGATGCACTATTACCACCTAGCGTAGATACGGCGGTACCGCACCACGCCGCCGCCCCCTTCTTGTGCTAAAAATGGGCCTGCGGAAACACCACATTCTCACTTTGTTATTCATTTAAACCGTGCTAAATTATTATTTGAGTTAATATTTTTCAGAAAAAAAATTAATCATTTTTCGAATTCCCAATATTTGAGATTCAATTTTAATCAGCAACAGGCTAATGTTAGTAGTAGTATACTTTATTGTCCTCAAGAGGAAAATTGTTATGGACTACATGTTGCTGCAGACATACAATAAACATATAAAAACAAAATGAAATAAAATCATGAAAATAAAATCAAGATGAACTCTTGTTGTTAACATCAGTAGAAGTTGTTGCAGTAGTAGTAGTAGTTGTTGTAGTAATAATAATTTGATTATAATTTACATTTTATAATTTTGTGACAACATTTTTAATACATGTATTATGTTAAATATAAATAAAATCGTGCGTATATCACAAAATACAAAATATTTGACATTTTACAATACAAAATAATTTGCATGTTTTCCTTTTTAGTTACAAAATTTGAGAATGACAGGCTATAAGCAACGGACTAATGTTAAATTGAAAATACTATTAATAATATATGAATATATAAATATATGCTGACAGATTCATTATGTTCAAGCACAAAATTTACTTTAATGTCGATTTAATTTCATCATGACAAGTCATTATTTTTTTTTACATTTTTCTGAAATACAAAATTATTTTCATGTTTTCGAATTAAGTTACTAACTTTGTTGTCTTTTGAGAATGATTTTAAGCCTATCAGTGATAGTATTAAAATTAAAGACTAGTACTACTACTACTACTACTACTAATACTTTAGGTATATTTAAGTAATAACAATAAATCATTTTTTGTCCAATATAACATGCACATATGGTATGTTCTGAATATAGTCTATACAGATTACTTTTAAAGCATTTATGTAAAAAAAAATGGCTGGTTGAAATACATTTTCACTTTAATATTCATCATCATTTCATATTAATCTCCATTATTTTATATTTCCCTGTAATTTAAAACAATGTAACAGTCAAATTTGACCTTACACTTCATCAGTGACACTCTCTTTTTGTGTCCTGTTGCAGTGGTAGTAGTAGTAGTTGTAGTAATAATAATTTGATTATAATATACATTTTATAATTTTGTGACAACATTTTTAATACATGTATTATGTTAAATATAAATAAAATCGTGCGTATATCACAAAATACAAAATATTTGACATTTTACAATACAAAATAATTTGCATGTTTTCCTTTTTAGTTACAAAATTTGAGAATGACAGGCTATAAGCAACGGACTAATGTTAAATTGAAAATACTATTAATAATATATGAATATATAAATATATGCTGACAGATTCATTATGTTCAAGCACAAAATTTACTTTAATGTCGATTTAATTTCATCATGACAAGTCATTATTTTTTTTACATTTTTCTGAAATACAAAATTATTTTCATGTTTTCGAATTAAGTTACTAACTTTGTTGTCTTTTGAGAATGATTTTAAGCCTATCAGTGATAGTATTAAAATTAAAGACTAGTATTACTACTACTACTACTACGAATACTACGAATACTTCAGGTATATTTAAGTAATAACAATAAATCATTTTTTGTCCAATATAACATGCACATATGGTATGTTCTGAATATAGTCTATACAGATTACTTTTAAAACATTTATGTAAAAAAAATGGCTGGTTGAAATACATTTTCACTTTAATATTCATCATCATTTCATATTAATCTCCATTATTTTATATTTCCCTGTAATTTAAAACAATGTAACAGTCCAATTTGACCTTACACTTCATCAGTGACACTCTCTTTTTGTGTCCTCCACAGGTCAAGAGGACGTGACCAATGGTCTCACATCTCATGACAGCCAGGACGCTAACCTGTATAATAATAATTATATTTTTCTGAAAGAAATTCAAACTATTTTGGGGAAAATATTGATATTTTCCTATCTAATATTTTCATGAGACTCTTCTTTTTCTTTCTTTCTTTTTCTCAATTAAGCATATTCACCCACCCTTTAGTAAAAGACAAAAAGACATGGTGATTTAAAAATAAATATGATAAATATAAATTATAAATACAATTTTAAAAGTAAAGAAAGTATAAAAAGTGTTTCAATGTTTATACATCATAGTAAAAATGTTCTGCCTTTATTGTATGCTAATATTTTTTACTTATTTAATTAAATAAAAAATAATTTTGTCTGGGCAAGATGATTTTCATTACAGTTATAAGGAGAATTAATAATGGGAATTAAAAACATCTGGATGCAATACAGTAATGAGACCGTAACAGGAAATGTGTTTAAATATCATGAAAATAATGTCACAATGCAAATTTGTATTGTAGCACTTTGAGTGTGAGAAAGGCACATTATAAATAAGATGCATTATTATTTTTTTCCATTTCATAACATTTTATTTACTTCAGTTTATTTTATTATTATTATTAATATTATTTTTATCTCTTTTTGAGATGTTTACTTCACTATAGCACGTTGAGTGTGAGAGCGGCACATTGTTAATTAGATGTATTTATTATTATTATTATGAAGACCTTTATTATTCACATCCTTCAAGGCAAGCCTGGTGGTTCCATCTCTCCAGTGCTTCAGGCCCAGTCTGTCATTAGCAGGGTCACGCCATCCCCTCCGACCTCCTCAATCCAGGAGATCCCAGGCCCCACAGCTCAGGTGATGGAGCGCTACCTGAACGACTCGCTGCACGCCTGGTTCCGCCAGGAGTTCCTGATGGAATACCAGGCGGAGGAGGGCCGTCTAGTATGCATGGTATGCAGCGGTCTGTTGCCTTCACTGCACCTGGATCACATTAAAAGTCACATGCTGGATCTGCACCCAAACTCTCTGCTGTACAGCGCTGAGGAAAAGCACTCCATCCTGCAGACATGGGCTAAGATGCACGGTGAAGGTGAGAGACAAAACAAAACAGACAAAATTAGAGAATTTAGAAGAGTATGTGCACTTAATACACTAAGGCCTGGTTTCACAGACGGGGCTTAGCTTAAGCCAGGACTAGGCCTTAGTTAAGTTAAGATATTTAAGCAGCTTTTATAAAAATGTCTTAGAAGAAAACTTTACAGGTGTGCATCTTGAGACAGAACAATGACACTGACATATTTTAAGATATGTCAGAGCAAGATATTTTCAGTTGAGACAGCTCATACATGCATTTTAGTTTGGGACTAGCCTTAAGCCTTGTCTGTGAAACCGGGGAAAGTGTGTGTTATTGAAATAATAGGTTAAAAATAACTCAACAAATTAGAATACTTCATAAGACCAATAAAAATCATTTTTAGTGAATTGTTGGCCTTCTGGAAAGTATGTTAATTTACTGTACATGTACTCAATACTTGGTAGGGGCTCCTTTTGCTTTAATTACTGCCTCAATTCGGCGTGGCATGGAGGTGATCAGTTTGTGGCACTGCTGAGGTGGTATGGAAGCCCAGGTTTCTTTGACAGTGGCCTTCAGCTCATCTGCATTTTTTGGTCTCTTGTTTCTCATTTTTCTCTTGACAATACCCCATAGATTCTCTATGGGGTTCAGGTCTGGTGAGTTTGCTGGCCAGTCAAGCACACCAACACCATGGTCATTTAACCAACTTTTGGTGCTTTTGGCAGTGTGGGCAGGTGCCAAATCCTGCTGGAAAATGAAATCAGCATCTTCAAAAAGCTGGTCAGCAGAAGGAAGCATGAAGTGCTCCAAAATTTCTTGGTAAACGGGTGCAGTGACGTTGGTTTTCAAAAAACACAATGGACCAACACCAGCAGATGACATTGCTCATAATTTATTGAGATGCACCTGTATATAAGCACAGACTCAAAAGGATTAAAAGTGTATATATTTTAATGTTTTGAAAGAACTCTCTTATGCTCACAAAAGCTGCTTTTATTTGATAAAAAAAATACAGTAAAAAAATAATATGAATATTGTGAGATATTATTACTTAAAATAACTATTAAAAACCATGTGGAATAAAATAATTAATTATCTTTTTTTAATTCTTTTATGAGAAGACGAGACAACAAACTAATTAAATTAAAATCACCAGATAAAAATACAATATATATTTAATCTTCAGAATCTTGGGCTTCTGTATAAAGTGAATAAAAATATAAGTTAAAAGTATATATATATTTATACTTTATTATAAATATAATGTCCTATTGTCTCTGGTCTAAAGGTGTGATTGCTTGATTGCCAATTTTATTAACCCTGGTAAAACAACATAGTCTTAGGTTTAGTCTGATGTTCTACATGCTTCTGTGAAACTTTTTTATTTGTAAATTACACACTGGTTTCTTCTCAACTTTAATACTTTTTTTTCTCCTCTTTGCATTTGTCATTTGTCATGTAGAATCCCATTCCTTACAACCTCAAATCAAATCGGAACAACATACCAAAGAAATAAACTTAGATGGTTCAGCCTCATTCATCCCTCTGAATGTGGATCCCATTCAGGGAAACTTGGTGAGCTACATAAGAGGAGATGAGCATCCACCTGACACTGGTCAGAGAGCCCAGTCTTTACCTTATTATCCCAGAAAGAGAAGACTGAAATATGGCAGCCCCTGGCGTCTCCGCCTGGATTATTTAGTGGCATACGGCCCTCCGGAAAACCCTCTCTGCTACTGTATGGTGTGTTCTGAACACATGCCTGTGCCGAGGGTCAGCAACTTCCGCAAGCACATCCAGAAGTGCCATCCGGAGACAAGCAGCCTCAGCCGAAGTGAGAGAGATGCTGTGGTCAGTGCTTGGATAAAGGAGGAGAATATCGACAAGGCTACACCGAAAGAGGATGGTAAGTACAGACAACTGTAGACACACAACATCAGATATAGAACGAAACAAACTATCATTTTTGTAAATGCCATGTTAATAATTTAGTATTAAAAGAAATCATCATATAAACAAAAATAAACACCAGAAGTTAGAACCCAGATAGCACACGTACATCTGCAAGATGTCTGTTAAAGATCGCTTCGTGTACAAACATCTGATAGACGTCTTTAAGATGTCAGTTTTACATACATTTTAAATCATAAACATCTTAAAGACATTTTCTAAACGTCGATTTGACGTCTGATAGGAAATGCCCTATAAACATACTGCAGATGAGCAAACACTCTAAAAAAATATGACTTGCAGATGTCAAATAGACGTCTCTGTGATGTACGTGTGCTATCAGGGAACCAAAGTTCTTAAACATTAATTAAATTTTTATAAAACAATAGGCCTATACCTTTAGAAGCACGGATGTGACTGCCACTTTAAAGGTATGGTTCACACAAAAATGAAATTAGTCTTAATATACCCAGGTTGTTCTAAACCTGCATAATGTTCTTTCTTCTGTTGAACATAAAGAAGATACTTTGAAAAATGTGTCTCAAATAAACAGCTGCTGGTTGTAACTTCCAAGGTAAAAAATTAAAATAAAAGATACCATCAGAGTCATTGGGGACCAGAAACTGTTTGGTTACCCACATTATTTAAAGTATCTTCTTTTATGTTCAAAAATAAATTATTACAGGTTTGGAACAACTTCCACTTTAAAGGTATGGTTCACACAAAAATGAAATTAGTCTTAATATACCCAGGTTGTTCTAAACCTGCATAATGTTCTTTCTTCTGTTGAACATAAAGAAGATACTTTGAAAAATGTGTCTCAAATAAGCAGCTGCTGGTTGTAACTTCCAAGGTAAAAAATTTAAATAAAAGATACCATCAGAGTCATTGGGGACCAGAAACTGTTTGGTTACCCACATTATTTAAAGTATCTTCTTTTATGTTCAAAAATAAATTATTACAGGTTTGGAACAACTTGTGGGTGTGTAAACGATGGCAACATTTTCATTTTTGGGTGAACTGTCCCTTTAAGTCAGACAGTCCACCGTGAGCAACTGAAATGTTTCTCTGCAAACTGTGCGTTCATCATTAGTAACTGGACAGACACATTGATAACTTTCCCATTCAGCCCTACATCTGGAGAGTCTTGTGTTCAAAGGGCAGATGTGAGCTCTAGATGTTTTAATAACCAAGGGCTATTAGTATTATAAACAGTGCAACATACTTATTAGTTGATTAACTATGTGTTGGCATTTGCAAATCGCGTCCCGTATTGATCTGATACGGGACACACCATTTTACCTTTTAAATACGGGAAGATTCCGGGTGGCAACCCTAACTACTACTACTACTACTATTACTACTACTACTACTACTACTAATAATTATTATTATTGTTATCCTCGCTGTTTCCGTTGTTCTTTGTCATAGACTGTAAGGAGTTTTGTTGTTGAATTCAGTCAGGTCACAAACTATCGCGAGACACGTTGCTATAACGACAGATGTACACAGTTTCCACAAGCGGTAGTTCGGGAGACCGGTGTTGATGTAAGTAACGTTACTTAAAAAAAAACTAATTTTGATAAAGTATTGTTGATAAAGTATCTGGAAAATAAACACAATTAGTTCCTTTTAACAGCCCTCGCCTTTGTTTCTTATAATTATTCTAACTTAACGCCTAAATGTGCAGGGAGCAAGACTAATGAGAATATATTTGGCAGGTTTCACTCTTTTATCTCTTTTATATCTTTCATCTCAGTACATAAATAGTGAGGAATTATGATAATACCATGTTTTAGATGTGTACCATGGTAGTACCGTCATATTCTTTCGACGTACCTGAGTATCTTGCAAATACCATGGTATTTTATGTCAAATGTAAGTTACACATTACATTGGTAACTTAGCATGGTTCTGAAACATGGTGGTATCATGATATTCTTTGACATATATTTGAGTACCATGCAAATGCCATGGAGAGTCTTGTGTTCAAAGGGCAGATGTGAGCTCTATATGTTTTAAACCGAGGCGCGCAGGTGTGAAAGGGCTTTAACGGCGTGCATTCTGGAGACTCCGTCGCTATGGAAACAAAGACACCAAAATCCCGCGCAAATTAGCTTCTCTAATACTTCTTATGAAATGTATTTCATTATAATTGCGATTAGTATTATAAACAGTGCAAAATAGTTATTTGTTCATTCAAGTATGTGTTGGCCTTTGTAAAATACTGGACAAATTGCGATTCCGTATTTTAAAGCGGTCATAGGATGGCCATTTTCCACAAGTTGATATGATTCTTTAGGGTCTTAATGAAAAGTCTGTAACATAGTTTGGTTAAAATTTCTCAATGGTAGTGTAAAAAACACCTTTTGTACCCAGTCAAAAACAGCTCTTTTCAGATCAAGCCGTTTTTGTAGCATTTTCCTTTAAATGTTAATGAGCTCTGCTGACCCCGCCCCTCAGGCGCGCAGGTGTGAAAGGGCTTTAACGGCGTGCGTTCTGGAGACTCCGTCGCTATAGAAACAAAGACGCCAAAATCACGCGCAAATTAGCTTCTCTAATACTTCTTATGAAATGTATTTCATTATAATTGCGATTAGTATTATAAACAGTGCAAAATAGTTATTTGTTTATTCAAGTATGTGTTGGCCTTTGTAAAATACTGGACAAATTGCGATTCCGTATTTTAAAGCAGTCATAGGATGGCCATTTTCCACAAGTTGATATGATTCTTTAGGGTGTTGGATTAGCCTATTGTACTTTTTGTCTCTAACAAAGTGAGTAAAACATCTGAAATGTTTTATGTTTAAAAAGAATATTTATGCTTGAATCACTTTTGAAAGTGAAACCAGAAGCCACCAATGTCATTTAAACAGGTCATTTCCCCCAACAAGCGATTTTGCTGAACTCTCGTTTTCTTTTCTGTGGATAAGCACTCTTAAATGCATTTGTACATTCATTGCTCTTTTTGTAGACTGCAAGACTGTTATTGATTCCCATGCTTGACATTTTGCATGAACAATATTATTTTATTTACAGCACTTAAAATGGGATCTCAGTACAAGTTGGAGAAAAAAATCTATGATTTCACATACCATTTTGTCAATCACATTTTGTCATTTTGAAAGAAAAAGCATAAATATAATATATGGTTTACAATGTTAATGTTATATAATACTGCTTCAGTTCACCAAAAAGTTATATTGAAATAAATATCCAACGGACTTTCTGTTCAGGTGAAGTCCGGTTTCTTTTGAGTGAGATCCATGTCTCAGGGAGTGTTTTATTCATCATTCATTTTCTGCATTTATGAATCTTGGTCAGTTTGAATATTGAATTGAATCATAAAGGTGCAATTAAATGAGCAGATAATGCATGCTCTCTAATCATGAACACTTCCTGGTTGCATTTATTTAAGATATGCTGTACAGCATAAAATGTCATTAACAAATATCCTTTTTGCTCATTTGTTTCTCATCAGAGAAATGTTGCACTGGTCTATGACAAACCGTCATAATGTTCAGTTCTCTCTTTAATCCTGTACAGAATGAACTGAAATCCTTATGTCAGCATTGGTGTCACATGAGAACTTCTCTTTAAATGCCTTTTTTTTTTAACCAAATGCAATATGGAGGCACTTTCACCGTTTGGAACATCCCACAGATCTTTTTATGGCGATTCCTAAAAAATGGCACACAATCTTCTCTGTGATGACGAGGTTTGAGGTTCACACTCTCAGGGTTACAACGTTTAGGAGCAACATATCAAGAATTACATTTTAAGTTATGTACACATATAACACAATCCATTCATCACATGTGTATGTATATACACCCTTCTTGGATTTAAATATAATTCCTTTTGTTTCTCTTGTATAATTTACTGCAACACCAATAATCAATAAAATATCATGTCAATTAATGTCGATATGGAAAGCCTAGTTTTTTAAATTAACTGAAATAAAAATATATTTGCTAAACATTTCTTGTACAAATTATAGATTCAGACAACTTTAGTTGTACATATTCAACTTTGGGATCTAATTAATGTTTACTTTTTAATGTTTTTGAAATAAGTCTCTTATGCTCACCAGGGCTGCATTTATTTGATGAAAAATACAGTAAAAACAGTAATATTGTGAAATACTTGTACAATATGTTTTTCTATTTTAGTATTTAAAATGTAATTTACTCCTGTTATGGCAAATCTGAATTTTCAGCATCATTTCTCCAGTCTTCAGGGTCACATGATACTTCAGAAATCATTCTAATATCATTTTCCTGATTTGGTGCTCAAAAAATATATTATTATTATCAGTGTTGAAAACAGACGTTTAATAATATTGTGTATTTTTGAGTCACTTTTGATCAAATTAATGCGTCCTTGCTGAATAAAAGTATTCATTTTTAATTACATACATTTTTGAATGGTAGCGAATATGAAAGACTAGTTCATGAATGTGACAATTACATTCATGAGAAGAAGAAAAAAACAAGCACTACAAATGCTTTTGTCATTTTTATTAAGTTCACTTTGACATCATTACAGGGACCACAAGTTTTCCTGTTTGCATCTTTTCCCCCCCGAAACTCCCACATATTAACTTAATTCAAAACTAACAAACTGAATGTAGATGTTAGTCATCACATCTAGTCTTCAAGAGTCAAAAGCAAAAAGAATGTGACCTCCGTCAACCCTTCTCTGAGAGAAACACAGGAAAGAAGAAACCGCAAACATGCTAAGGTACTACAGGAATAAGTTAAAAAAATACCCAAATATTAAACTGAACCTCCGAAGAGAAGAAAGCAGATAACCTAAACAGAGAGGTCTGCATCTATTAAAAAAGTAGCTATGTAGTCATAATTTATCCTTAAACTGAAAAACAATGGTAATACAAATTGTCAGAGCTTGACCTGTTCTTCGAAAGCAAATCATGTCAATTAATGTCGATATGGAAAGCCTAGTTTTTTAAATTAACTGAAATAAAAATATATTTGCTAAACATTTCTTGTACAAATTATAGATTCAGACAACTTTAGTTGTACATATTCAACTTTGGGATCTAATTAATGTTTACTTTTTAATGTTTTTGAAATAAGTCTCTTATGCTCACCAGGGCTGCATTTATTTGATGAAAAATACAGTAAAAACAGTAATATTGTGAAATACTTGTACAATATGTTTTTCTATTTTAGTATTTAAAATGTAATTTACTCCTGTTATGGCAAATCTGAATTTTCAGCATCATTTCTCCAGTCTTCAGGGTCACATGATACTTCAGAAATCATTCTAATATCATTTTCCTGATTTGGTGCTCAAAAAAAATATTATTATTATCAGTGTTGAAAACAGACGTTTAA